GAGAGAGAGAGAGAGAGAGAGAGAGAGAAAGAAAGATGGATCGCATCAAAACGCTGGGTTTCTGAGAGGATATTGATTTCAGAGCATCTAATATTTCTCTCCAGACACTCCCTGTCAGCACCCTTGTCTAGAACGGACCATGAATACAAGCGGGAACACGTGATGTGGGTGGTCTTCCCCCACACCTCTTGCGCTCTGCCTTCCCCCCCCCAAGCACTCACTCTCAACCTGTCCCGTCTGCAGGTAGCTGCCCCTTCACCTCTCTCCTCTTGGCTCTGTGTGGGCTGGAGCCATTGGCTTTACAGGCAGTGGGAGCAGTTTAAGTCAAGCTCCACCCAGTAATGTTCTGACCAGGGAGAACTTCTTAGGGCTTCTGGAAAAAATGAGGACAGTGTCCCAGCAAGTTGAGATGGTCTGGAAAAATGAACACTGTGCTTTTGGACGCCTCCCAAAGACCGTGACCTGACGCAGAGCAGGGACCGGGCTCGGGCTGCAAGTGGCACTTCTGGTGTTTGCGCTTATCCTGCTGTGAGGTAGGGATCCTGGGTGCCCCTGCCGGCATGGGAACCACTGCACGTTAATAACTTTGACCTTGTTTCCTTGGAAGAAGCTGCGGGTTGGCCGAGGTGCAAGGACAGAACAGCTCTGTCTGTATCTGCACTGGAAGTTGAGGTTCTGTTGCTAACGTTTGAAGGCCTCCCATCTCGGGTTGTTGTTCCATTATTAGGTGCCACTGGGTCACCTCCAAGCCACAGCCCTGCCGTGTGCCTCGCCCCACAGTCTCTGCAGTGCATAAGCCCAGTGAGGCTGCTCTGTCCCTGTGTCAGGTGGCTCCTCCTTCCCTTCTGGGCACATTTCCCTAGAGCTCAGCTGTCCTGCTGAGGCTGCACGTACTGAATGCAGGAGAAATAAGAGAGGAGTTGCCCGGATGGCACAGAAGAGTAATGTCGGCCCTGAAACTTGGTGTCACTGCCTCATCGATGACAGAGGAGGTGATGAGGGTGTGGTGATCATCACGGTCATGCTGACGAGGTGACCGTGCGAGCCGGGTGATGTGCTGCTGCTGCTGGTGATGGCATTGCTGATGACCAGCTCTTACATGAGACTCACTGCGTCGCACGTCCTGCTCCCCCCTTTGCATAAATCCACCCGCCGGATTCTTAATAATCCCAGGGACTGAGGAACCGCCTTTATTCCCAGCTCACACATTAATAAACTGAAACTCGAAGAGATGACATCTACGCCCAAGTCCAACAGTGACATTTTAGAAATGCTCTGAAGGGAGCTCTGGCGGCCTAGTGGCAAGACGCTGCACTGCAATCCCAGAGGTATGCGGTTCAAATCCACCAGATGCTCTGCTGGAGAAGGAGGGGGCAATCTCCTCCTGTACCAGTCAGATCTGATTTGATGGTACACGTAAAAATAATACAATAAAAATTTAAAAAAAGAAAAGAAAATAGAAATGTTCTGGCACTGGAGACACAGAGAGGTTGGAAAAGAAAAGGTTCTGTTTCTTTGGGAACATAAAAATACGGAATGTATCTGAAGATGGGAAAGCAATGTTCCATCGGCTGCTGGGGACCCCCCCAGCTGCTGACTTCGCTCACCCCCCCTTCCCCCCCCCACTGCTGCCTGACTTTGCTCTTCCTTTCTTCTTTTCTTATTTGTTTTAAAACATTTGTACCTCCATTTCACTAACAGTTCCCCCTTCAAGGTGCTTATTCGCCCTGGAAAGCTGGCTGCCACCCAAATGCCATGTCTTCCAGGTATCAGTGTAAACCAGGGATTCCGATTCTCAAAACAGAACGCAGCTAGGTATCCTTCATTTGTTGAAAACTCTTTAATCCTCCTGGTGTTTACTTCATTGCTTTGCACCCTGTTTATTATGCCAAAAAGAGCAGGGTAAACATAAAATAAAGAGCAGACGGGCCGGGCAGCGTGTGGAAGATTTTCCACGCATGGTCTGGCAGCCGCGGGAAGAGGCGGTGGGCACGTGCGCACACAGAGCAGGGCATTGTGGGGTGTCTGAGGGGCCAGGCCTCCGTCTGGAACCCAGGCAAGGGGTCCCCCAGGCCAGGGGGTTACGGGTCCACACCACAGGGTCCTCTGAGGAAGGTGCCGTGCCGAGGGTGATAGTGTCAGTTACAGTCCAGTGGGTTCCAGCTCATGACAGCTCCGCACCAGAGGGTGACACCTGGGGGTCCCGGGGGGAGGCTGACCCCGAGGGTGGGCAGAGGAGAGTGGATGGGTGACACCACACCTGGGGGTGCCGGGGGGAGGCTGACCCCAGGGGGTGGGTGGAGGAGAGTGGATGGATGGCACCACACCTGGGGGTGCCGGGGGGAGGCTGACCCAGAGGGTGGGCAGAGGAGAGTGGACAGATGGCACCACACCTGGGGGGTTCGGGGGAGGCTGACCCCAGAGGGTGGGCAGAGGAGAGTGGGTGGATGGCACCACACCTGGGGGTGCTGGGAGGAGGCTGACCCCAGAGGGTGGGCAGAGGAGAGTGGGCGGAAAGGCCAGTCACCTGGTGGTGGGCTCAGACTGGAAAGAGTGAAAGGCAAGCCCTGCAGGGCAGGCCTGGGCAGCAGGCCCCAGGGGCTCTGGCCACCACCCACTCCACCCCGGTCTGCACAGTAAGCATGGGTGGTCCCGCTGGCGTCCCCTCCCAGGGTTTATTTCTGGCTTTTTCCATCGCCCACCTGCTGGCTATTGAGCCGGAAGTGTCTGCTGGTCTCGAATGTTGTCTGCTCATGACTCTGGCAGGGAGGTGGCATCTGAGGGGAGGGTGTCTGTCCTCTCAGACACAGAAGGGATGTCATTTCGGTGATAACAAGACCAACATGGTCCTGCGCGTGAGGAGAAAGGACAGGCACACACAGAAACAGCCAGTGGGCCTGGAGGCAGGGGCTGGCCGGGCGCTGGGCTGGCCGAGGGATACTTGTGCATGACACACAGGGACACTGTCACAGCAGGCAAGGCCGTGTTTCCGCAGAGACATGTGACAGGCAAGTAATGGCGGGGTGCAGGCAGACACCCCGTGAGAGGTCTGCCCATGTGGTAGTTTTCAGACCACCCAACTTCCCCTCACCATGTTCTCTGGAGGCCAGAAGCCCTCGGACGCTGCCATGTTGCTGACTGGAGGGAATACGGGTTTCCCTGTAGCTTCAGATGTCAGCAGACACATGGGTGAGTTTGTATGAGGAGGTGACCTGCCCCTCCATACTCCTCACCCGAAGCGAGTGACCGGGACGGCTTCACACACAGCCTCCCACAGGGAGCCCCTCAGACTCCGAGCCTGGTGGCCATCCACCACCACACAGGCTGGCAGGGTCCCTGTACCTGTGGGCCAGCGGTCCCAGCCCTTTCCCTGGTGAAGGGAGGTGAAGCAGGTGGGGCCAGCAGTCCCCCAGCAGGACAAGCTGGCATCCTCCCTGCCCAAGGAGCCTGTCCCCTAGGGAATGTGTCCACCGGGGAGCCTGTCCCTGCAGCTCCCTAACTGTGACCACAGGTCACATCTGACTAGACACAGTCATTTTGTACTTTTTC